ATATATATATATATATATATATCCATCATCATACGGCATCCAGAAAGTATTGTTGCCGCATTACTTGTTGACATTATACGGCCTTTTGCAAAAATGGCCGAGCAAAATTGTAATTTTGGGATGAAGTCTTTTGCTTAAACTTTTGCTGAACTACAATGTCAGAGCAAAAACAAAGCCATGAAGACCAAACAACTACCAGAGCTCCGAGACAATATTGTGGTATCTTTGCAGATCTGGGCAAGGCTCCAAAATAATATGCTGCACTTACTGTTCCCAGTAGCACAGTGATTATTCATAGCATAACATTTTATAACTTCAACTTCAGTCAAAATGGACACTGCACATCAAACTATAAACTTTAAAAAGTACTCTGTGATTTATTTCTGCCAGAAAGAAAGCAATTAGAAAGGAAAACCAAGGACATGTTACTATTATTTTACTGATTTTGAATGATTTTTTAAAATATGACAGCGTGACACAACATACTGTATTTTTTTTTTGGCCTGCTTTTGTAATATTGTTGCAGCACCACTGAGAAAGCAAATTTTCTCCCATAAGCATGTTAAGTCCGCATTTTGATCAGCAGCTGGTCTCTAATCTGCAACTCCCGCAGTCCAATGTCAATTCCTTGCAAGACCCGCTGTTCAGTTTGACATGAATCACATTGAGCTTTTGTCTTTCTTTCCAGGGAAAAGCAGGCTACTGCCAAGAGTGTGCGCCAGAAGGACAAGAAGCTCAAGGATGTGATGATGCAGGTGGAGGATGAAAGGAAACAGGCAGAACAGTACAAAGACCAGGTAGGATCGCTAGTTTTCCAGGAATTTCGAGACTCCTTGCGGCAGCGGATGTGACGCACCCTTGACTTGAATGCTCCCTCAATCAATTCCCCCACCAGGCCGAGAAGGCCAACACACGCATGAAGCAGCTGAAGCGGCAGCTGGAGGAGTCGGAGGAGGAGTCTCAGCGAGCCACAGCCGCCCGCAGGAAACTGCAGCGGGAGCTGGATGAAGCCACCGAGGCCAACGATGCCATGAGTCGCGAGGTCAACTCTCTCAAGAGCAAACTCAGGTGTGAATAGTTTTGTGTCATGAACAAATGATTTCTAGTTGCTGCTCTTTGCACTGCCGGTGCCGTGGGTCAAGGTTGCGTCGTAATCGATGTCATGAGGAGAGTCAAATATCTGCCTTTGAAATGCACTGCTGAGCTGACGACACATCTCACACAACACTAGAAAAAATACAATTCCGTCATCCTGCCTGCTATACTCTTACTGATTTCTTCATTTCTTCAGATATCATTAGATACAACTGCACAATCTGCGAAGACACAAGTGTAGCGGTAATATTGTTCAACGTCGATAGACAGCAATGTATTTATTTTGTTTGTAGTTTGCAGTGGTGAAATTATAGAATTGCACTGCATCCTGCCGAGAACTGTTTCGAACGTGGTTACCTTATTTTGCCTCCTGCAAAGAAGTTTTACAATTGTTTTTCATATAGCTCCTTTAGTGGATGAAAACATTTTCTGGTAACGTACACAGTAGTACCTCAAATCAACTCTCCAGGCAATACAAATGTGTTTATTTTTGTATTCCAGAGGCTACCTCTAATTCAAGAAGTAACACAGCAGGTACCGCTACATCTAAAAGTTACTCTCTCCTCATTATCTCGAAGAAATCCCCAACTTCTATTCATTTCCAATGCACACTCTTCCTTCCAGCTTATTGAGCCCACCGAGAGAATTTGTCAACAGCTTTCAAACTGAAAACATCCCTTCTTCAGCTTTTCTGAAATGCCATAAACAGTTAGTCAAATATGTACAGTATGTTCCATGCACGTTACCTGCGTACCACCTTTTTTTTCCTTCACCATATGAAACACCCGAAGGAAAACAGCTCAGCAAACTTCTTTCGTGTGCCCACTGTTTCTTCTTGTGCCGGTGACTTTTCAGGCGTGGGAACGAGCCCTCCTTTGGCAGCACACCTCGGCGTATAGGTGGAGGTCGGAGGGCAGTTGAGGATGCGTCTGAGGAGGAGGCGGACTCCCAAAGTGACTTCAATGGAAAGTCAGCAGACTGAGAGATGAGACGTCAACGAAGCGGATATTAGAATCTCCTGACAATACTGCCTCTTGAAAATGGAGGTTAACTTTTTCCACCCTCCCCCCAATCACCCTAGTTCACCCTGACTTCAAAATACACAGTACCTGGCCAAAGAAAAGTTACACATTGTTTTGTTTGGCTGCCATTAGCCTTGAATTCACATTCACTTGTTCGCATTTAAGTAAGTTAATGCAATGTCACAACATTTTCTGCCACGCAGAAATGTATTTCATACCTGTCAACTCATACGGTTCATACGGATTTTGTGGTGAATCTTACGTTGATGGCCATATCGCACAAATCATACGGCTTCTGAAAATTTCCGTTTTTTGTTTTTTTTTTCCCTAACAGGTAGTTCCGTTTGCTTTTGCCCAGAATGGTGCTAGTCTACTCTAATGCTTTAATTTCCGGTAACTTTCCAGTAAATCACGTGGTTCCTAGTTGAAAACAGCAGAGTATTCATTGCATACTTCGGTAGTGTACAAGCAAGTTCTACAAGGAAACAAATATATCATTCATATTTCGTGGGTTTTTTTCTGCTGTTATTTTGACATATAAAATGCTTCGGTATGTTATAAGGATTTTTTGCTCTTTATAAGGATTTTTTTGGTAGTTTATACAGGTTGGCGCTCCGAAAAGTTGACAGGTATGGTATTTTCAGACAAGCTCTTGAATTGACTATGGGAGAGCTGGAACTCTGTGGATTGCACATTCAAAAGGTCCTCAATGGGTGAAGGTATCAATCATGTGTGAAAAGGTTTTAGTATTTGTGCCAAATGGTACCGGCCTTGTGACCCGTCATTTTGGAATGTGCCCATGGAAGAAAAGAAAAGAAATCCCAATCCATCAATGTTAAAACATGTCCATTCAGCAAATTCATGTGGTCAGCTGATCTCATATTTGGGCACGAAATCTGAATATCTTATCCACAATCTCTTATAAATAGAATCGAGAAGCTGTTAATTGCATCAATTAGGGTTAAACATCAAGTATTTCTCCTGTAATTATCCAATGCACTGCTATAATCTCGATGCTCAGTGCAATCCAATGTGTTTCTTTTCAAGGGGCCAGGTAGCGTCTATTTTTCTGCCATTTTCAGTAGTTAACTGATCTGTCCTCTCGTTTCAGAGCACTTTTTCTTGACACAAATCGCATAGATTTAACAAAATATCAACCAAGGGGGTTATTTGGTGGCATCACGGCTGTGTGATTTACTGGTTTTATTTACACCATTTTGTGTTGCACTGAATGACTAATAATGCAACATTCTGTACACAACAGGTGCCGCTAATTACTGTGCTAACCTGCCAGCAGAGCCAATAACTGTTGATCACCTTTGGATAGTCTGTCACCTTGTGGAAATGTAGAACTATTACAGCTACGGTTGTCTTCTTGCCTGTGACTGCTGTTGACCTATTAGATTGAAAATGTAGATGGGGGTCTACACCCAGTTTGCTTTTTGTACCCAAACTAGTACTCGCCTATCACATTTCTGTATGATAATTACTTCATTCTTTAACATGTAAAAGGTTACGAATGGTTTAGGGTCATATTCTTGTCAAATTTGCTGCATTTTTGAACCATTGTCAGCAACTCAATCTGCTTTCGAAAGTTTTTTCCCTGCTAATCACCCTAAACCAGGGCCGCTGTCCTGCGTTAGGTCTCCGTATGACAACACATTTGATTCAGATAATCAGGATCATTATCAGGGTTTTTCAGAGCTTGCTGATGAGTTGATTGTTTGAATCAGGTTTGTTGGAGTAGGGAAACATATAAAACATGCAGCAAAGCGGCCCTCAAAGACCGGAGTTGGACATGCCTGCGCCTGTCCCATACAGTTATGTAACCAACTGTGTTTACATTGCACAATTTCTTCCTACTAATTGTTGAACCACCTGCACACAAAAAAAAAAAATAAAACTCTATACCCCAAAAAAAAACAACCATTTTGTTCTTTTAATGTTTGAGTGGAGGTCAGTAACTTCACAAGTCAAATTGAAGCAGTTTCACAGGATAAACAATCCAAACCAAAAGCGTTCATGGTTTGGTGCAGTGCATCAGATGAATACAAGGCACCAGGGAACCGAACGCAACAGTACATAGAGTACTTTCAGTGGTCACAGCACAGATCATTAATTACTAAGCGGTCATACCGAAGACTCCAGTATAACCAGAAACTGCTTAAAAGGGGGGAAAAACAGCCACATTAAAGCTTTATTCATTCTAATTCCATTTCACAATCTCTCCCCAAAAAGTAGGTAAAGTGTTTTCCAATATACACAACTTAGACTACAAACAGTGCCATCTCAATAACCTGATTTATTATTGCTTTTTCTTCCCCCTCCCCACAGGATGAGTCCACAGTTATTAGGAGAGCTATTATATTACATTCAGTAGAGTGAGTGTGCTAATCAAAATTAAACAGTCACGTCCAATCAAGAAAATGTGGAGGAAGGCAGCATTGGCTTAAAACCAAACTCCGGCAGCATCATTTTTCTAAATTACCTCCAAAATCAAGCTCCGCGCCATCACACAGATGCATATTAAATGATGCCACTGTTGATTAGTCCTAAAGTTTATGTTTCAAAGATTAAAAGCAAAACTAAAATACTGAGAAAAATATATATTTCCCTTATCACAGCTTTTTGGTTTGTACTTAAACAGCAACTTGGTATTGTTGTTAGGTCATTTAATGGTCCTGATATTAGGGTCCCTCACGTGTTTGTGACGTTTGTTAAATGGTAGTGATCCCTCACATTCAGGCCGCAAGTCAATACAGCGTTGTTTTGAAGCTCCTCATCACATGGACATGAGTGAGCATGGATGTTAACGCTTATGAAACGGTGCTTTGCGTCCCATGGTGTGGTGTGATATGATACGAATGTGTCTTAGGCAGCAGAATTCCACATATCATCTGGAGCGAGGAGCAAAGAAACCGGGCTTCAGGTTCAAAGAGCTCAATGTTCATAGTTCAGTTGTGATGGGGAGGGAGTTGGTGCGAGGTGAAGGAAGGAGGTGCGGTTTCCTCACAGCAGCATCTTGACTCCTCCTTGTGGAGACTGCGCACCTTGAGAGACACCCCGCGGAGGCGCTGGTCCAAACTCTAACCGCTTCACTAAACTACGTACAAGACAAGCACAAATACTTGTAAGACATCCTCATCTTCGATTCGTCGCTGTCATTGCATCATTCATTTCCTCATCGTTAAATGACAATTGCAATATTGAAGAGGAAAAAAATCGCAACTGGATTCATTTTCAAAGTCGTTCAGCCCTAGTCTAAACTGCATAAAAGCAAGGTTGAATGGTTCTGAATCCCTCTCACCTGTCATACTGTGGCGGAGGGCTCATGCTGCTGGCTTGGATGTCAGCCCCCCCATCTAGACCACATGGACTAGCATGCGCGGGTGGCAGCACCAGTCGGGTGCTCGATGTGTCGTACGCAAAGTCTCGACATGAGGCCAGCTTGGACTCCAGATTCTGACACACCACAAATGCATGAATCACAAACTTCAGAATGATACGAACATGCCGCAGTACAGCCACAGTGAGACAAATGCATCTCCTACCCCAACTTTTCTCAGCAGCTCCCCAACAATGTTCAGTGCAGATATTCTTGCAGATGTTGTGAGAGGAGTACCTGTTAAACCATCACCTGACACATGAAAAACAATCGGTGGAAAAAAAAAAAAAAACAAAAAAAAAACGGAGCTTATCATTAATTCTTTCGTAAACCATAAGTATCCCTATTCACCTCGCCAGATGCTGGATGCAGGGGGTGTGGCAAACGAGCTGGATGGCTTAGACGGGGTAACTGGGGTGGTGGGGTTGCTAGCAGAGGGGCACGGAAGGTCTGGTCGATCGGGGTCTTTGCCCATGCTGCTGGATGGCCGCCTTTCCTTCTGACGCACAGCCAGTTCCTGCCGAAGATCTGCGTCAAACAGGACAACCAAAAGGAAAGTTGGACAGCCTTAAAGGTGCAAACTCGATAGTGTCAAGTCAAATGCCTCTGACATTGGTACAATTCGGAATTTGTCAAAACTTTCCTGGAGTCCAATACAACTTTGGAGATCTCGTATAAAGAGGCTTCAGCTCAGTGAGCATCTGAAAGAATAAATACTTGTTTTGCGTTTTCTTTGTCATGCCAACACCGACGGCAAAGAGTGTGAGCGAGTGTGAATGTGACCAAAGAACCCGGTTGCATTGCAGATGCGCAACAAATGAGACCATCCACTTTGAGAAGTAAGCTTTTTATCCACTTCTCAGTGACCTTTAAGGAATTTGGTTGCCTTTCTGTGGTACCTTATACAAGTTTAATTAATTTTGTGACTCAGCTCAAAACTCAATTGATGAATATTCAAATTTACGCAATTAATATCAGTCAGTGAAATACCATTCATCTGTTCCAGTCTGCTCTGAAGAAAAAAAAAAAAAAAAAAAGCAAGCTTTTCCAACAAATCTGTTGGAATGTAGCGCACTGTATACTCAACTTGAACCCTTCATTCACTGCGACTACTTCATCAGCCAGGACACGACAACGGATCTTGTCTAATAAGGCTGAAATTGAAGCCCACTGAGACAGCTCCTGTGTTTACCTCTGGCTTCATCTTTGAGCCTCTGAACAGACTCGAGCAGGTTCTCCTTCTCATCCAGCTCGCTCTCGAGAAAAGCATTCCTCTCGATGACATGGTTCATCCTCTGCTCAAAGTCCTCCAGAGACATGATGGTAGCCCTGGAGAGCAACTGAGATGATTACCGTGGCCCTGTGTATGTATGTAAACCTATAGCGTTGAGTTTTAAGTACTGACCTTTTGGTTCTCTCAAGGTCATCATTGGACTGTTCTAGTTCTCTGATATATTTCTGCAGGTGATCTTTAACTGCTGTTGTCTCTGCCAGAGTTTCCTCCAGGTTGGAGATATGCTTAAAATTTTCAGTGTACTGACTCTCAAATTTCTCCTGCAAAAAATATTTTTGAGACGTTCTGTGATCTATCAACTGGCAAAAATAGGTTGTGATTTTATTAGGGTTTTTTTTAGCACTGAACAACCTCTGTTGCAATGATAAGAAAAAAATGCCTATCAAACTACTATACAAGTGTGACCACAGTCTTCAGCATCTGCTTTTACTTTAGAGTACAATGAGCAACATTTTTGCCAATTTTCTGACGGGTTTTATGGACCAAAACAGTAACTGAATCATAATCAATGTTTATCCATATGCTGCACTTTCAATTTGAAATATATCCTGTTCTCCAATAAAGGGATGGAAAATCTGATTTGTGAATTAATTGAGCAAATTAGTCACAGTCTTTAAATCAGGGATGATGCTAAGATTTGTCATCTGTGGGCTTGTGAAGTCACAGTGCGCTGAAATGAACAAATGCAAGGAAATGCAGATCTGAAAGGTGTTTTATCTTTCCTAACTTGTCAGTAAAATTCAAGTTCGTAAAAAACTATGATGATGAACATATCCCTGCTGATGCATCGTGTTACATCGCTTTGGATTTGAAATCAGCACGGCTTTTGCGTAGAAGATAAAGACTATGGAGAGAATACTGGCCAAAAGAAAACAAAAAACTAACAAATGCGGTATAATATCAGTTTGATCATCAATGCAGCATTTCGACAACTATTATCATCCAATCCAGTTTCACGTATCAATCAAACACCTTAATGTTTTCCAGTTCCAGACGGAGTCTGCTGTTGTCTTGTAGCAGCTCCTTGTTCCGAGCTTCACAGTGCTTTAGCTCAGTTTCCAGCTCTGCTTCATAGTCTCGACTCATCTGCTGAAACTCCTGCAGCTCTTCCTGAACTTCATCTGCCCTAAAGACATCGCGTTTCCAAAACAAGATCAACCTCCAAGCATCACTTATGACTGTTACATTCAAAATGAAGACAAAAGGGTTTGAGTGAGTGAGTGAGTGAGTGAGTGAATGAGTGACTGAGTATCAGAAAACCATATCATAGTAATCTACGAAAGGCGGTGTTTGTACGGGATTAGGGATCAACTACTGTATATTACCTCTGTTGGTGTCTATTCGCTTGCTCCTTCCAGAAGCCCAGCTCCTCTTGCAGGGTGGCAAAGTTGCGTGTTGCTGGATCGCCCATGCCTCAGGGTGCTCGGGTGTATGGATCCGAGCTAAAACCTGCATCCCACAACACGCTTAACAATGTTTTCATCTCACAACACCGTCACTGCTATTTGCGGATGCTAACACGCTAATAGAAGTCGAGATATCCACATAACATTTGCCACAATGGCTCATGTTTAACACACAAAGTAAATGTAAAACATAGGGAAATGTTGACTAGTGTTTGGAAGAGAAAATGACTGTTCAAATTACAAGTAAACATGCTTAGCCAGGACCGTAATCAAGCTAAACTATCAGGCTATCCCGAGCTAAGGAAAACTGATGTTTTAAATAGAGTTACCTGCATGCAAGGGAAATGTTAAAATGTATTAAAATTGATATTTATAGTCCTGGTTAAGAGTTCTCGTGCACTTTTTCTTGTAATGTATGTAGCTCGAACAAACTTACTTTAGCTTACTCGCCGCCAGCTCAAAACTCCACTGCCGTTTCATTCAGGAACCAATCAATTACAAACTAAGCTTGAAATCGGAGACGCTATTGGTCGAGACGAATAGCGACAACAAGAGACTACCCAATCATTTTTATAGCTGTCGTGGACGAGTCGTTCTGACGTGAACGCTCCAATGCTGGGGGGTTCCATACACATTAGTAGAGAACCTTTGGCTGGTTGAGGACGTGCAGACCTTGCCGCCATCTTGAACCGGGCTCTCATAACGTTACTGTACTTACATTTTTCGTGAAGGACTTCTGAGGTTGGAAGACGCCGTAGTATTGCGGTGCTGACAGTTGTACGGCTTAAATGTGTCGCTTGTTTTGGCGCATTGTCCATGTCAGTGTGTTTCTTTCGGGGGGGAAAAGATAATAAGAATAAGAATAAGAATATGAAAACCTTTATTCGTCTCACAATGAAGAAATTCCCAAGGTATTTGAACAGTATTGAATATTATATAAATAATCTAGATAATACTATATATCTACAATCATACACATTAATATATGTATATATATGAATGCATATTTTATAATATTGGATACATGCGGGTCTCGCATCTAACTAGTGTCTGTTGGACTAACTATGTCATTAAAGTAAACCTTTTTGAATGAAGAAACATTTTCAAAGCACACCGATTGTTTTGTATTGTAGCTACTTGTCTGACGATTTCAACAAAATAAAACACATGAAAATCGCTTAAAAATTCAGCGATTTGTGATGAAATGAACACTTTGAGACAGTAATTCATGCCTTTGTCACATCTCGGCTCGATTACTGCAATGCCCTTTACTTTGGAGTCAGCCAGTCCTCCATTAAGCGTCTCCAGCTGGTCCAGAATGCCACTGCTCGCCTCTTGACCGGTACTCGTAAGAGGGAGCACATAACTCCTACTCTGGCATCCCTTCACTGGCTCCCCATACATTTTAGAGTTATTTTCAAGATCCTCTTATTTGTTTTCAAATCTCTAAATGACCTTGCGCCACCTTACCTCTCTGAGCTCATCCGCGCCTACACACTTGCCCGGCGCCTCAGGTCTGCGGACCAGACATTAGCAGTACCAAGCACTACA